TCATTTCTATTCTTTTTAAGAAATTACCAATTTTACACTAGTATTTAAGTTTAACTCAATTTTGCAAAGAATAATCGTAAAACGTGATATCCCAAAAAAGGGGTAGACATATTTGTCCAAAAATCTGTTTTGCTAAATTAATGTGGTGAAGCATAATAAGGTATGTGTTTTGGTTAATCTTAGATATAATTTTAAAGAAAAAAAATGTCATTTAAATAGTTAGATTTTTGACAATTATTTCTTTAAAAAAGGATACTTTCTGATTTTTTTTTTATGAAAGACGTAGTCAAATTCAACATCGATTTATTACTGAATCTCAGTGAAAATTTTGAATATTAATGTTTATAAGTTTAAAAAAAATTGTGATTTTTGGTGCATAACTAAATAAAATATGAGACCATACTTCTTTATTTAAATTTTGGCTGTTGAATTTTGAGAGGTATGTACCGGGTAATCTAAAACATGTTGCATGATAATAAGCCTGCAAAAACTCATCTTTTATGGCTGTTTTACTAGTTTTTAAGTTCTCTAATGTATTAAAACTTTTAACTTACATGTATTAAGTTGACAGATTTTTTTAAAAGTGCGGACCACCCTTAAAAGAATTAATATTTGCTGCTATTTTAACCGTTTATGTGTATCATGGCAATTAAAAGCAAACATTTGACACAAATGCGTATCTTTGACTATAAGAATGTGATTGCAATCTGGCAAAAATCAACCGTGTTAGCACAATTCGTCTAGTGTTCAATATGGGTTTGATATCCGATCTTGTATGACGTTTCCTTTTTTGAATGATATGCATCAAAGGCGACCTTTCGTAACGTAAATTGATTTTGTGGATTCAAGTGTTGGAGGTTTTATTTAAGCAAATGTGCTTTGAACTGTTTAATTTTTTACGTTTAAGACACATTTTAATTATAATTGTAGGTCTTGGATTTATTTTAAGCAGTGCGATAGATTTGCACACCCAGTTGTATTTTCATCGTGTAAAACATGGGGTCGTCAATGAACTTCTGTCCTTACAACATGAACAAATGGTAGCACGATCCCTGCTTGACTGTTCAAGAGCATGTGCTAGAAGCGACATATGTTTTTCGATTGTCTTTAACTCTGAAGATTCTTGCTCTCTTACTATCGTGGGGTATATATGAAAATCTTTCGAACCCAGAATTGTCAGAAGAGATTGAGGTATATACAAGGAGTAAGTATTTAACTTTTTTTGTTTTTATTTCTTTGCATGTATTAAATTAATTATTATGCCAAAATAATATGCATTTAAATTTTGTAGTCAAGTATATATATATATATATATATAAGAGTTAAAGACACATTAAGTGTATAAAGTTATAAAAAAAAGACAAACGTATTCACATTGTCTTTGCATTCGTTTTCTCTTTACTTCTGACACTTACGACACTTAAGTTGAACGGAGGTTATTAGGCATTTTGTGTCCATGCAAAGATGTACTTTGCGGAAGTATGTGCACTTTTCACGAAACCATGAAATTGTCAATTTAGACATATCATTTAAAGTTTAAAAGAATCAACATAAACACATAATGTACTTTTTTTTCATTTTTAGCAAGTCGTCCATGCTCAGAAATAGGATACCTTGACCTGAGTTCAAGTGGAACATGTTTTAAAGTATTGAGTGCCAAGAAAACACAACCAGACGCTATGAGAGAATGTACAAAAGATGGCGGATATCTAGTTCAGCTCAGAACTGCAGAGAAGCTTAATATGGTTCATAATGTTATAAAGGACATGCCAGGTGAATTATAGCTTATTCCATTTTGTGCGGTTGAGTGTAAAATATCTGCTGGCAAATATACACAATATATATTTTAAAATACTTTAAATCTTATAATAATAGCTGATGCTCACAAAGAGCAATATTTTATTCGACACCAACGTTCAATAGATAAGGCTACATTGGAAAAAAATATTGATAGTGAAAATCTGTTCTGGAAATTAAGTTTTCATCTTCTAATTGACTTGTTTAGATGCATTCTGATTTTTTAAAACCTTTAAAAGCTCATACAATATTTCTTGTTTCCTTTTTCTGAAAACAAATTAATAATCATGTTTAATATCTTATAAAACAATTCCAAACTTTGCATGTACATGTTCAATTAGAATTCTTTTTTTTTTTTTACATATTAATAATGTTTTTTTGATATACACACATACATATATTTACATTGCAGCTTTGTAGATACAAACTTAACTGCCCATTTTTTCCCAAACATTAACTTGAATGAGGTTCATTCTAAGGATTTTGTATCTTACGGGTAAATCAAATGGCACAATGCTAACAAGAGGCCCATGGACCATAACTCTCACCGGAGCCACGTTGCAGTTGTGCATCAGTTTTTCCCCGCCCAAATATACGTCCCCATACTTATCTAAATTTTTGATCGTCATTTATGGCCGCACCTGGGAAATGAATCGAACAAAATTTAATCTTCACTAATGAAGGAAGCTTCATTATCCCATTTACCCAGTGATGTTTTGTACCAACTTTGGTAAAAATTAGTCAAGTTGTTCTTGAGACGACGTTGAAAAAACTGAGAAGTTTACAGACTGAAGTACGGACGGACGAAGGACAACGGATGATCAGAAAAGCTTACTAGAGCTTTTAGCTCAGTGCGCTAAAAAAAGAACCACTAAATAAAACATGAAACTATTGATAAGGCATAATAAATTAAAATTAGACAATACAGGAACTAATAAATCATACTCGGTATTACCAAGGCCTTTATTAACAACTTAGCTTAGCATGATGGATAGCCAAAAACGAAGCAAAATTATTTTTGTCTAGGAATTTGGTCAATAACTTTGGTTTTTTCAATAATAAATGTTTTGTAGTTAACTAAAGTTTGAAATTTAAAAAAAATCTCTGAAATAATTGATTATAACATTATTGTTTATATAATTAATGTATATTATAAAAATTATAGATTTCGGATTCTATATCGACGGAAGTGATGCAATACAAGAAGACGTCTGGGTACTATCAGATGGAAGTCCCTTCTTCATGAATTGGAACCCAAGAGAGCCTGATGCTAGATTCAAAATGTCGGAACAGTGTCTGCTTTTGCAACCAGATGGAACCTATAATGATATGAACTGTACTTGGCCGTTTCCATTCATTTGTGAAAAGCAAGCAATGCCTTATTTGTAAATAAAAAATATATTTTTTTTATTATTTAGAGCAAATAACAACTTTAACATTACATTTATCCTTTACAATATCTTAACATATTTTGAAAAAAGGTATTTACATATTGGAAGATCGGTTAACTGGACGATACTCCGACTGAGTACTCGGAAACTCTGAAAATCTCCCCCCCCCCGCTTATTTTGTTATACCCCCCGCTTGAAATGTGGGAGGGTATATAGTAATCGGTATGTCTGTCCGTCCATCCGTCTGTTACGCTTTGGGGTACCCATCTCTTATCGGCAACTCCTCTCATATTACTGATGGAAATTTAATGAAACTTTCACAGAATCTTTATTACATATTGCCATTGTGCACCTTCTATGTTACTTTTTGATCTAACATATATTTTAGATTTTGCAGACCAAAACATGGATACTGCCATTATATTCATTATACTCATATTATTTAGTGAGCTCATTGCTCAAAGTACCTCAGAGCTAGTTTTAAATAAAGACCTTCTTTAAAAAATTCAGCGCTCATGAAAGACTTTCACAGGTAGATGGTGACGTCTCTGTATGAGATAAAAATTGTCTCGAATGGGACTTACAGCAACATACAACCAATCAATCAATCAATCATTCAATCAATCAATCAATCTTTCAAAATTATCTTTTAAATAGAATTTTTAATAAAAATCTTTAAATAACTCGTAATAGATTTACTACATGAAATACTTATATTAGAGCCCATTGGCCAAATGTTGAACTGAGCATTTATTTAATGCTCAATTTAACAAAATTGATGCAGATATTTTGTGTAAATTAATATCATAGAATTATTGTGGCTTCTAATCTGGTTTTATAGCTAAATATGAAGGAGAGCGAATTTAAGGATATCCGATCCTCAGCCAGAAAAAATAACTTCAAAAATTCATATTTAATTTGAAATGCATCAAAATGCAGCTTGAAAATCAAATTTTTTCATGCAAGAATTTTCATTATATTCATCTTTACAAGATTCAGGGTATTTTGAAGTCTTAGAAAAGGTCTTATAAAAGTTGACATTTGTACCCTATAAAAGGAAAAGAATATATATAGGTTTAAAGAAATAAGATTTTCTTGAATCCAGTCTTATATACCAATGTTTCATAATATATGTCACATAATCTGAATATCGAGCATGACACCAAAACTACCAAAACACCATTTGTAAGCATATTGATCTAAAAATATGATGTTGCAATGTATCGGGAAAATTATAATATAACATGAAGTAACGGATGATATAATCAGTGATGTCATAATTTCAGCTGTTCTTAAGATGGAGTAAAACTTGCAGCAAAAAATTGGTTAACTTTTATTATAAGAAAGATATCCTAAATATCGTACAGGGTGCGATGATGAAAAATATCCAGAACAGAAATTGCTGTCTAGTTTTCATAAATTAAGAATAATTAGAGAGTTTGAACTAATTATAATGTAAAGATTAAAGACATTAAATTCCTGCCCCTGTAATGTTTAAGTGCAAACGTTTATGATAAACAGAACCGAGCAGTTTGTTTATATTTGCTAATGCTGAACTCTGAATGCTTTAGACATTAATTGCTTTAATCTTTAACTCCATCGCCTCACTGGTCAAATGTTTATACTTTCCCAGGATATCATATTAACTCTGCTATTTTGTATCTTTGTTTATCTATGTATGAATTAGTAATAGATTTGCATCCAAAGCCAAATCATGTGTTGTTCTTACTAGCAACATTACATTGGCGACGAGGATATAAAGTTGTACATAGTGTTTGAGCGGTTATTAATTTTGACTGAGAAATATCAATAATGGCTACTGGATTTCCTCCATTTCCGAAGTTTGATGTCTCAGATCAAAGTTCAATAGGACAGCGTTGGAAAAAATGGATCCAGCGATTTGAAAATTTCGTCCTTGCTATGGGAATTACTAGGAATGATCGCAAAAGGGCAATGCTCTTACACTATGGAGGAGACGAAGTTTACAACATCTTCGATACTCTTGCAGACACCGGTGGACCAAATGACTATGATGCAGCTAAGACAAAACTGACGGAGCACTTCAACCCAAAGAAAAACCTTGAATTCGAAATATACAAATTTAGACAAGCTAAAAAACGATCAGGTGAAATAATGGATTCCTATCATAAAAGACTGTGGCAATTGGCAGAAAACTGTGAGTTCGAAGTTGTAGATAAGGAAATAAAATCACAAATTATTCAGGGATGTGAGTCAAGTCGTCTTAGACGCAAAGCGCTGCGTGAACCTGACTTAACTCTCCAACAAAATCTAGATTCAGCGAGAGCCATGGAAGTCTCACAACTCCAAGCCTCCGGTATGGAAGACCATAAGAGTCAAGACGTACATCTAAATGCTGCAAACAGGAAAGTGAATTCGTCTAAACAAAGGAAACAAAGAGAACCTACAAGTAAGTGTCGCAATTGTGGAAAGGAATGGCCACATAAAGATAGACCGTGCCCAGCAAAGGACAAAGCGTGTAACAAATGCAAGAAAATCGGACATTTTGCAAAGCAGTGTAGGTCTGGCCAGAAACAGGATACAAGAAATTTCAACCGCACACCCAAATCAAAGAAACCTGGTGTAAACAATTTGGATAATGGCAGTAGTGATGAAGAATATGCTTTTGGATTACAAATATGTGCAACAAAATCTTTGCCTATCGCAAATGTCAAAATAAATGGGATTAAAGTTGACATGCTGGTGGATTCCGGAGCAAGTGTTACTGTCATGGATGAGTCGACGTTTGAAAGAGTAAGTCGCAAGAAACCAATTAAATTGTCAAAATCAAATGCTAAAGTTCATGCTTACGGAACGAAAGCGGCGTTACCAATAAGAGGTAAATTTCGAGCTGAAATAGAATCTAAACTCAGGATTATCGACACTGAAATTCTTGTGGTGAAGAGTGCAAGTGGATGCTTACTTAGCTGCGCTGACGCACAAAAACTTGGACTCATTTCGATTACAATAAATGCTGTAGACCAAAATGAACGTACTGACCAATCCAGTATACTAATGAGATTTGCTGATCGATTTGAGGGGATAGGAAAGCTGAAAGACTTTCAGGTGAAACTTCACATTGACGAAACAGTGAAGCCTGTTGCGCAACCACATCGCAGAATTCCGTTTCACCGACGAAAGGAATTAGAACAAGAGCTAAAGAAACTGGAAGAAATGGACATCATAGAAAAAGTTGATGGACCGACTCCGTGGGTGTCACCAATTTTAGTAGCTCCAAAACCTAAAAATCCTGACCAAGTGAGAGTTTGTATTGACATGAGAAGAGCTAACAAAGCCATACTGAGAGAACGCCATGTCATGCCTACAATCGATGAACTTGTCACTGATTTGAATGAAGCTAAGATATTCTCAAAACTGGACCTAAACAAAGGCTATCACCAACTTGAGTTAGCACCAGAATCGAGATATATCACAACATTTTCATCACATGTTGGACTGTTTCGCTACAAAAGACTTATTTTCGGAGTAAATTCGGCAGCTGAAGTTTTCCAGGCGGTCATCCAACAAACCATTGAAGGAATACCTGGAACACGCAATATAAGTGATGATATTATTGTGTATGGCAAGTCCCAGGAGGAACACGACAATTCGCTACAGTTGCTCTTAACTCGACTGCGGGAACGAAATCTAACGCTCAACAAAGATAGGTGTGAGTTCAACAAAAGAAAGCTTGTATTCTTTGGATTTTTTTTCTCTGAAAATGGGATATCAGCTGACCCCAAGAAAGTTGAGGCAATCAAACATGCATAAAATCCCAAGAATGCATCTGAAATGCGCAGTTTCCTTGGCATGGCTAATTACTGTGCACGATTCATCGAGGACTTCGACACAATATCACAACCTCTATGAGAACTGACCAAAAAGAAACAACGATGGGAATGGACTTGGGAAAAGAAACATGAACAGGCGATGCAGAATATCAAGGACGCTTTGACCAGTAGTGCAGTTATATCTTATTTTGACCCTTCAAGGCGAACAGAAGTCATTGTTGACGCAAGTCCCGTCGGACTAGGAGCTATCCTTACTCAAATTGATGGAAATGGCGACCGGAGAGTTATTTCCTATGGAAGTAAAACGCTTTCTCCAGTGGAACAACGATACTCTCAGACAGAACGAGAAGGCCTTGCAATTGTCTGGAGTTGCGAACATTTTCACCTTTATCTTCTTGGAAACACATTTGAACTTGTGACAGATCATAAACCATTGGAATTAATATTTGGAAACCCTGCATCAAAACCACCTGCCAGAATTGAGAGATGGGCATTGAGACTACAGCCGTATGATTTCCACATAAAGTATAAACCTGGAAAGTTCAACCCAAGTGACTATATCTCACGTCACCCAATTCGTCAAGGAAATGATAAATCATTCTCTGTTGAAAATTGCATCAATTTTGTAGTCCAGACAAACATCCCGAAATCAATGACTCTGGATGAAATTCAGAAAGCTTCTGACAACGATGTACTGATACGAGATATTCGAGATGCAGTGAGGAGTGGATCATGGACTGTTTTCAAGAAATCAACAAGACCAGACTGGCAATCTGTCTATAAGTTGAAGGATGAATTGACTGTTTCAGATACCGGGATAGTTCTCCGAAAAGACAGACTGTTTGTTCCACACTCACTCAGAAAACACGTTATAAATTTAGCACACGAAGGACATCAAGGTATCGTAAAAACGAAGTCGTTGCTAAGGGAAAAAGTTTGGTTTCCGGGCATTGATAAACAAGTTGAGTCGACACTAAAGAACTGTTTACCTTGCCAAGTTACGACAGAAACAAAACATCTCGAGCCATTGAAGATGTCACCTTCACCAAGTGGACCCTGGACTGAATTGTCAATGGATTTTTGTGGACCATTTCCCTCGGGAGATTATCTCATGGTTGTTATGGATGAGTACTCCAGATATCCGATTGTGGATTTTCTTAAGTCTACGTCAGCAAAAGCTGTTATTCCTAAGTTAGACAAAATATTTGCGGAATTTGGAATACCAAAAGTTCTGAAAACTGACAACGGACCTCCGTTTAATGGAACAGAATTTCGCCAGTATTCGGAATACTTAGGACTTTCTCACAGAAAGATTACTCCTTTATGGCCTAAAGCAAATGCAGAATCCGAAAGATTCATGAGAACAATTGAGAAAACAATCAAAGCAGCTAATGTGGAAAATAAAAGTTGGAAACAAGAAATTTTTACATTTTTAAGGAACTACAGGGCTACACCACATTGTACTACAAAAATATCGCCATTTGAAGCTCTATTCAGCCGGAAAATCAGGACCAAGATGGATGTAGACGTTCTTAACGAAAACAAAGGAGGAAAATACGAAATCCACACGGAAATGAAAGAAAATGACATTAATGCTAAATTAAAAATGAAACAACATGCTGATCACTATTCTCGGGCAAAGGAAATAGATTTAGAAGTAGGAGACAACGTTTTGGTAAAACAACCAAAATCAAATAAACTGTCAACCCCGTATGAACCAAAACCACTTAAAATTTTAAAAACTAAAGGTACCATGGTCACCGCCGGTAATGATGAGAAGACAATTACAAGAAACGCGTCGCACTTCAAAAAGTTAGACGATAAGGCAGATCAGGATGAGGAACTCGAAGTTGACGAAATACCCGTGAAGACAGATAACTCCACGAGTGAGTTACCGAGCCGTCCTAAGAGAGAAATCCGCGCACCTAAAAGACTTATTGAAGAAATGTAAACTATAATATAATCGTTACGCGTGTGTATTGTGAACCTAGTGAATTAGTGACCAGAACAGTGTATTAATGGAAATACTAGCTGTAACTGTTTATATCTACTTAGACTTAGACAATAAGTGTTGTGTCTGTGTATCTTTATCTTTATTTTGATTCCTATTTTAATTCATTGGGATTTAATTCTATTTCAAACAAAAGGAGGGATGTAATGTTTAAGTGCAAACGTTTATGATAAACAGAACCGAGCAGTTTGTTTATATTTGCTAATGCTGAACTCTGAATGCTTTAGACATTAATTGCTTTAATCTTTAACTCCATCGCCTCACTGGTCAAATGTTTATACTTTCCCAGGATATCATATTAACTCTGCTATTTTGTATCTTTGTTTATCTATGTATGAATTAGTAATAGATTTGCATCCAAAGCGAAATCATGTGTTGTTCTTACTAGCAACATTACACCCCCTTCCAAAAAAAAGAAGAGATGAGAACTAGGTCAAAGTGAAGTCAATGATTGAGAAAACTCATGAAAGTCAGATCTGAGTCTAGGGAGATGGATTGGAACGATGTCAGTAAGTGTATCAAGTGTACTAGAAAAATTTAAATTTTAATTGAGTGTCTGCATACAAGATTTCAATAAAGCCAATTGACGTTCATATTCGGTTAAAGTTTGCAAGATTGATTGAAAGGAAGAGTGAAAAAACTAGACATCAATATACACGCTAGTTCTGAAACGACACATTATTTAGATGCAACTTTGAATAAAAAAAAAAATAGATATGCAATTTGGGGGCTCTAAAAAGCCAGATAGAAAATAAGAAATGTCTCAAATATCCTATGAAACTTAAAAAACAGTGGTCATGAATTTCTGAGCACGAGTTTCTTAAGTTATTTAGGACAAGTACTTTGAAAACACAGTTGGAAAATGACATTTTAGAATTTGTTGCCATAGTAGCTGAAATAGAGAATGCTGGATACTTTTTACTCAAAATAATAACTTTGAATGTTTGCTGATTAAAATGTCATAAATAAAATGTATATTTAGCATTTGTTAAAATTTATCTATCTGTCTTTTGATGTGTGTCATATATTGTGAAACACCCTGTATGATTAGTTGAAATATATTGAGATAAAGAGCAGTATCCAAGCTCTCAAGTCCATTAAACAATATAAATTTTGAAGAAGAGCAAACAAGGACCTCCAACACATCAGGGATTGGATCAGGTGCCACGGAGGATTAAAAATCCCCCACCTACCGGTCACACCTGCTGTGTGCTCCTTCGGAAAATTCCATCGACAATTCAGTGTGTAAATATCTAGTTAGATATCGCTTTTGAGAATGCATGCATTATGTCAGGTTTAGAGAGCTACATGTGGCCTAATTTTGGCATATAAGTGATAAGATATAAAATCATATTTCAGATGCTGCAATGTTAATTATATAATAGTGTTGCATTATGCATGTACTATGCCTAAATAGTAGGCAGGGTTTGACACATGCCCGTGATGGTGCACTCGCCGGCGGCATCGTGCACTATGTGTAAAACCCTGCCTACTATTTAGGCATAGTACATGCATAATGCAACACTAATGTTATTATTATGCTGACTGTTATAATAATTTATGCGGCAATTTGACTTTTCCTTAAAAAAAATATCGGTGCTAACACGATGCATTTGCAAGAACTCATTCCAAATCTTCATGTTTAAATTGGTTACATGCTTAGTGTTTTTGGGCATAAGGTTATTTTCTCTAAATAAGTCAAGATTTTCTGTCCCAAAGCGACTCATCTTTATTTTCTGTTTTGTTAGTACGACTGATTTGTTTGCAGTCGTCAATTCTCATTGAAAGTTTTCTTTCACTTCCTTTAATCAAGCGTTATATAAAAAAGCACTTTAATGGCTCTATGACATCAGTTCATCTAACGATCTGTGTGTAATTAGTTTGAAACTTTGTTGTACAAATTTATACAAGGTTCCTAAGAATAATATAAATGTTTTCAAATAATATTTGTCTATTTTCTCCTTATTGTGTCAGTTGTATAAATTTATATAAAGTTTATATATTTGATAAAATTCCATCAATCATTGATCGTATCTGTGGCGTAATCGATAAGGCATCGGACTGACAAACTTATGGTCGTGAGTTCGATTCCCGACGTGAGCAATAAAGAATTTTATTCAGTAAATAAATCCGTGCACCATTTCTGCAAAGTATGTTTACGCTATATAAATCCTAAGAACACTATGCGAGAATAGTATAGGGTATGGGTTATATAGAGACAAACTGACAGGAAGCATAATAATTACTGTAACGGCAGAGATGTGCGGTTATGGATCGGCCCTCTCGTAGATAAAATAAGGTTTACTTAGGTTTTAACTGATGAAGTTTATTTTACAACAAAAATACGGGTATTCCCGCCGCAGTGTCACAAGATCCCAAACTTCACCGTGAAACTGTAACAATAACAATTACACAGAATCAATACATAGAATACTAATTACAGCTAGATTGAATATGCAAAATACACATACAAAAATAACTCATTTACCTCCTTGTGCCTTATTCTCGCAAGGATGTGAGGGCTAGTCGCACCATGTGCTTGCCACCATGAACATAAAAATAACGTGAATGATACAAGATACAAGATTACCTCATTGTACAAAAGAGTTCCAACTACGGTAGCATGTGCGGGCGTAACATGGCTCCCCAAATTAGTGAATAACTAATTTTAACATATATACAATCATATAACTACTACAACGTCTATAAGGGGACACTCTAGATCCTACGATGGCTCCTCGGTGGGGTCTTCCCCGGTCTCGTTCTCTAGCAACAAGACTAACTTATGAACAGGTCTCTCCAGTGTAGAAAGCTGACCGTTCCTTTTGCCGTTCATGTCCAGTCCAAACTGCTGTCTCCGATAGCTAACTTTACACTCCGGACAAATCCATCCTCACTTGCATATGTCTCTATGACACGGCCAAGATGCCATTGATTTCGTGGTAAGTTATCATCCTTCACTAACACAACATCTCCTGTCTTGATATTCCGTCTGGGCGAGGACCACTTTGTACGCGTCTGGAGGGTCTGAAGGAATTCCTTTCTCCAACGTATCCAGAATTCATTGGCCAAGTATTGTATGCGGCGCCATCTCTTACGGCAATACAAATCAGGCTTCTGGAACTCACCAGGTGGTGGTAAGACAACCTTAGACTTCATGGTCAGAAGGTGGTTCGGTGTGATAGGTTCAGGTGCAAATGGATCATGCAAGTTCGAAATGGAAAGTGGGCGACTGTTGACAATAGCCATAGTCTCACAGAAAAAGGTTCTAAGAGCCTCATCGTCTAACTGCGCACTAAAATCCTGTAAGAGGGAAGAAAGCACATTGCGAACTGTCCTGATCTGCCTTTCCCAAATTCCGCCCATATGACTCGCTGATGGAACGTTCATTTTGAAATGGATATAATCACATCCGTCAGCTGTGAGAAACTGCTTCAAACGACTATCATCTAATTCTTCCAAAGATTCTCTGAGTTCTCTCTCAGCCCCGACAAAGTTTGTGCCTCTATCTGATCTCAGTTGTCTTACTGGTCCACGTATCGCTAGAAATCTGCGCAGAGCGTTGATAAATGAACTAGTGTCGAGAGAGTTTGCAGTTTCTAGATGCACGGCTCTCGAAGACATACATGTAAAGAGAACTCCATATCTCTTCAACTCTCTTCTCCCTTCTTTGATGTAGAATGGTCCAAAAAAGTCTACACCACTGTATGTAAAGGGTGCCTCTGCTGCAAGTCTGTCAGCAGGTAGGTCGCTCATTTTCTGATCCTGTGTTTGGCTGCGACGTTTACGACATTTCACACATCTCGAAATGACACTATACACAGCAGAACTGCAGCCAATAATCCAATAACCATTTGATCTTATCTCATTCGTGGTAATACTTCGTCCTTGGTGTCTGCTGCGTTCATGAAAGTGTCTGATGATAAGCCTTGTAATATGTGACTTCCTTGGTAGAATGATTGGATGCTTAACATAAGACGTATATTCTCCCTTCCGCAAACGACCTCCGACTCGCAAAACATCATTATCATCCAGAAATGGGTCAAGTCGGTAAAGAGAGGATGTCTTTCGAACGGATTTCTTCCTGTTAACTTCCTCACATTCCTTGGTGCTGTTAAGAAGTTTCAATTCTTCACTAAAAGCCTCTTTCTGAACTAATCTGACAATAGTCAATTCTGCTTTCTCTAATAATGCTACTGGCAATCCTTGCTCCTTGCAAAGCACTGCATCTGTTCCCTTCTGACAAGCGTCCTTCTTAAGTAATGACTTGAACTGAAAACAGTTCGCTATGAGTCTCTTTGCCTGGGTCCAATCAGAAAAACATTCCAAATGGATGGTCTGTCAATGATTCATATTCAGTAGGTTCCACCTTTGTCTCAAACACCTGGCAACGCTTAACCTCTGGGTCATCGTCGGATATAGTTGGCTTGCTGACAGGCTGACCAGTAAATGGTAAATTGGACTCCCATAGAAACTTGGGTCCTCTGAACCATTCTTTCCTCTTTCGTAACTCATCAGCTGTAACACCACGTGATGCCATGTCTGCTGGATTCTCTGCTGAACTGATATAGTTCCACTGATATGGTTCTGTGTGATCACGAATCTGTTGAAGTCTGTTAGCAACAAAAACATGAAATCGTCGGGAATCATTGGCAATGTATCCAAGAACAACAGTGCTTTCTGTCCAGAACCATTCGACAACATTGCTAATTTCAAGCTCTTCTAGAAGTTGGGAGCTGACCTTAACAGAAACGAGCGCAGCAGTAAGTTCCTAACGAGGTACGGTTACTGGCTTGAGTGGCGTGACCCTGGATTTTGCCATAACTAAAGAGCAGTGTACTTGCTGCTTGTCATCGATGAGACGAAGATATGAGCACTGGCCATACCCAATAGTGCTCGCATCTGAGAAATGGTGTAGCTCAGCTACAACAACATCTCCAAAGTTCTCGGGTTTTAGACATCTCTTGATTTCCAAGGAACCAAGCTGCTCAAGATCATTTCTCCAACATCTCCATCTTGGCCTCAAGTTCTCTGGAAGAGGGCTATCCCAATCTGTCTGGTTTCTACACATTTCCTGCAAGATTTGTTTCCCAACTAGGACGAAAGGTGCTATGAATCCAAGGGGGTCAAATACGGAACTCAAGGTCGACAAAACCCCTCGTCTAGTAAGAGGACGGTCTCTCAGTGTAATCTTGAACTGAAATGCGTCTGTCTGAATACACCACTGTATACCTAAAGTTCTTTCCATGGGAAGCTTGTCATGGTGTATGTCAATATCTGCTAGTCCCTTTGCTCTTTCTTCAACTGGAATGCTCTCCAAAACTTCCTTTGAGTTTGAGAGGAACTTGTGTAACTTCAAACCACTTCTGCTGCACAACTCTTTGCTTCTCTCTATGATGCTAATGGCTTCCTCTGGAGTAGCTACCGACTTCAGTCCGTCGTCAACATAGAAGTCTCGTTTGATGAAGTTCCCAACATCAGACCCAAACTGAAGCTCTCCGTCTGTGGCAGCTTGTCTCAAGCCAAAGTTGGCGCATCCTGGAGAAGATACTGCTCCAAATAGATGTACAGTCATTCTATAAGTAGTAGGATCCTTATTGAAATTGCCATCATCCCACCACAAGAATCGTAGGTAATTTCTATGTTCAACATTCACCTTGAACTGATGAAACATCTGCTCAATATCACAAACAAAGGCCACTGGCTCTTTGCGAAATCTACACAAAACTCCAAAAAGCATATTCATCATGTCAGGTCCTTGCAGCAAATGGTCATTCAATGACTGCCCCATATACCTTGCACTGCAATCGAAGACTACACGCAGCTTTCCTGGTTTTTGCGGATGATATACACCATGATGTGGGATATACCACTCCTGACCACTATCCACACCAATTTCCGTCTTCGGTACTCTTTCCGCAAAACCATTTGATATCAGCTCTTTCATAAAGGAAACGTAATGCTCGCTATACTTTGCGTCTTTCTCAAGTCGTTTCCGCAAGCCTTGAAGTCGCTGAAATGCCATGTCTCTATTATTGCTCAGGTATGGCATTGCTTCTCGGAAAGGCAGTGGCATTTCATAATGTCCATCACACTTATGAATCCCCTTTTCCATGATATCCAGAAATTTTCTGTCTTCGTAGGAAACATGTTTTGAACTGCTAAAGTTCTCACTAAAATCCACTTCAAGCATCCTAACTACCTCTTCAGGGTTGATTACTTCCTTTATCTTGTTCCTTACTGAAAATACAACATGGTCTTGCCTTGATGCTTCAGATGTACACAATTCTGTAGGCACGTCGCACGCAACAATACGATGACTAATTCCTATGGGATCCTCTTCCCATTCCGTTGAACTGTCATTCTCCATTATGCCTACTACACTCCATCCCAAGTCAGTGCGTTGACCATAAGGTCCGTCTTCGGATGGAACGATAACATCTCTAGGCGTCAAGGCCTTCACACAGTTGTAACCAATAAGTAATCCAACTTCGCAATCAGTCAGCGGTAGGAGTTCATCTGCAATAGCCTCCAAATGAGGCCACCTTCTCGCAACTTCCGGTGTCGGGATATGGGATCTGTTGGCAGGCATGATAGCTCTTGTATAAGTCTCCGGTAATCTTATCCTGTGTTCACTATTGAAGCCACGTACAACAAGTCCTCCAATCTTACAACTATCTATGGCCTTGTTCTCTGCATACATAGTAGATAGCATGAGCTTCACAGGTCTACCTGTAAGTCCAAGGGCCCTTGAAGTCTTCTCCAGAATAAAGGTTGTATCTGATTGCGTGTCAAGTAGCGCATACACTAACCTCTCTCTTTCTGGGTTCTCTTTATGTGACACATAAACTGGAAGTATCATGGTACTTTTACTAGATGCTCCGGAGTGATTCATAAGTGTTGTTCCTGACGAATTTTCCTTTGGCACTGCTGCCTTATCCACCTCCTCTGTAACCTGGTGCTGTTCTCGTCTATGGATGTCCCCGTGTAAAGATGAGGGGTGAAACTTGGAACAAGTTTTGCATCTTTTCCTCTGACGACACTTCCTTGATAGATGACCCGAATGTAAACACCCAAAACACAGACCTTTCTGCTTTGCGTACTGTTTTCTTCCTTCCAGACTCTTCGCTAAGAACTGTTTACAGTCATCTAGTTCATGATTCCCTTCACACAAAACACAGTTTCTCCCTCTGTCACTTCTATTTGCTACGTTCACATTTGCGGGCTGATTCTCGTCAACGTCTGTCAGGAAAGATCGTTTTCCATAGTCAGCTGCACCTCGCTGTCGTACCCTGACATCAGGTCGTGGTTTACTCGGCTCTGATTGGGTGAGTTCAGACTTCTTTACAGACTCTATGGAGGTAATAGGGTCTGTCGCAATCTTGGCTTCTTTCACGATAAATTCCATGAAATTCTTGAATGGTGGAAATTCCATTCTTTCTTCTCTATACTGTGTGGCGATCCTACCCCATCTTGTCACAAGCCAGTCTGGAAGTTTGCTCAGCAGTCTTCTGTTCTCTCTGTCATCATTGAGAATGTTCAAGCTTCCAATACTCTGCATGGCCGTATAACACTGCTTGAGAAAATCACCAAATCGCTGCAGTCCAACACCATCTCTCGAGCTTATCTTTGTCCATTTATCCAGTTTGTCACGGAATGCATTGGCAACAATGAATGGGTTACCATATCTTTGGTCTAGCAGTCCTTTAGCCTCCTCATACGCATCATCTGTTGATAACAGAAAATAGTTCTCTATGACATCTTTCACTGGCCCACCCAGATACTTTTTCAAATAATGTATCCTCTCTGAATCTGGAATCTGACGCTGCTCAATGAGTGTTTGAAATGATGCCTTCCAACTTGGGTACTTCAACGGATCTCCTAGGAAAATGGTAGGTTCCGGAGGGGGTAAACGACTAAGACTCACTTGCTTCGCTAGTGAAGTAGCCAGATCTAATAAGCCCTGCTCTATGTGTTTGTCATCTTTACTAACGGGTGTAGGATTGCTAAGTGACTGCAAGTCTATGTTGCTTAAGGGTACTCTTGAGGCAGTACTAGTGTCGACGTATTCCTGTTGTGTGTGAGGAGTAAATACTGGGGGAATGAGGTTCCTATGCAAAATAGGTGGTACATCCGATACTGGTTCTATCTTGACCTTCGCTTCTGATGGCCTAACCTGAGTATCAATGAACCTTTTCACACGTTCCTTGGAGTCAAGCTCTGGAATCGAATGTTTAAATTCACTGTACGAGAATGGTTCATTACCTTCCAAACTCTCAAGTGCTTCTAACTTAGCCTGCGCTATATCAAGCTCCTTTTGGGTTCTGATCCTTTCAAGGTCTGCCTTGCGTTTTGCTTCTTCATCAATGTACATCAGTTTTGTCTTCAGCGCTGCTGCCTCCATGACTGTATCTACTGACTTCCTGGAACCTCTGGAGGTATTGGAAACCCTCGTTGACCTTGATGTACGACTGCTGTGCGATCTACCTGAAATCCTGGAGACAGAGTCAAACTCTATTTCTCTCAAGCAATTTGTAATGTCTCTCATTAATGTGTGATTATCTCCTAGAATAATCTCGATCCTCCCCTGGTATTGATCAACTAAATTTCTGTACTTCTCGTCTTCTTCATTTGTTAGCATTTGTTTCAATCTTTCAAGGATTTCATTCAGACTAGTCGTAATACTAATAAGAACGTCTCTTTCTTGTCTGATAGTAGAGGTATCCTTCGAATCCGAAATAAGAACTTCAATAGAAGCTGCGCACTTCCGCCATTTTGTAGCTTTGAGCTTAAAGTTTGAGCATATCTGATCAACTTGCCATTCCAAACCTTTCATAGTCATCTTGCGCTCACGCATATTTAATGTATTGCTTTGACTTGCTTGTCCGGAGTCCTTAGACGTTTCCTCAGAAGTTGTTTTAACATTTTCCTTGTCGTTACCTGTGTTGTTGTCTTCCTTTGTTTCAGGGGGGATAGATGAAAGTGCATCTGTATAGGACATCTCTTCATTCGACATGTTTGTAACACAGTTAGGGGGTATAAACTTAGATACAATACAATGTTACCTACTGACTATGTGATAAAATATTGCAATAAAATATCAGAACCTTCCCCTAGCACACAAGGTAAATACATGCACATGTATACATATTAAATACAAATCAACATTTGCAACAAGAGTCAATACAGTTCCAATCTAGAGCACAGTCTTGATAATTGTTCATATGCACAGATATAATAAATACCTAGCACTAATCAATGGCATTAATCAATTAATAGCACACTGTTTACTAACACACAGTCACAAATATGTTATGTATAGTAATGCTAAAATTGTCACTTTATAACGCAAACGTGTCACCATACAATTTTCACACAGTTAATGTCATCAACATAAATCGCAAATTATGTTCCGTTCACAGTTACACATCATCACAGAAACATCATGTATCGCAAATATTGTGAAGTCAGAAGGTAGTGGCGTCTTTAAGCTTCCATAGGTCACACTCACCGTTTTACCCTGGAAAGGAGTTTCACTGTAACGGCAGAGATGTGCGGTTATGGATCGGCCCTCTCGTAGATAAAATAAGGTTTACTTAGGTTTTAACTGATGAAGTTTAATTCAAAACAAAAATACGGGTATTCCCGCCGCAGTGTCACAAGATACCAAACTTCACCGTGAAACTGTAACAATAACAATTACACAGAATCAATACATAGAAAACTAATTACAGCTAGATCGAATATGCAAAATACACATACAAAAATAACTCATTTACCTCCTTGTGCCTTATTCTCGCAAGGATGTGAGGGCTAAGTCGCACCATGTGCTTGCCGCCATGAACATAAAAATAACGCAAATGATACAAGATTACCTCATTGTACAAAAGAGTTCCAACTACGGTAGCATGTGCGGGCGTGTTATTATAGACCAAATTAAATTTGCCCTGTATGTGAAATAGTTCACTAGCCTGTTAAATCTAAAATGTATATCTTTAATGGTTGTTTATGTCAAACAACAGGATACTTTTTTTCTGGTCTTGAGGATCACGCAGCAGATATGATAGGTCGATAGGGGATGCTTACTCTTCTATGACACTAGATTCTATGATATTGTGTTTCCTCTGCTCCAGATTTATATTGTTCCAATGGACTTTGTTCGTTATCTCCATATTCCATTGCAAAATAGTAAATTTTGACAATAATATATATTGTTATTTTTCCATGATTCCCTTTAATAAATTAATTCCATAAATGAAACCATAGTTTATGATGCCATGAGGTTGTTAATCAATGGGTAATTGTTCGGTAAAAAGAGTTATTATAGCAAGGTAACGCAGGCATCAATCGGAAGTCTGAAGTAAAAATCTATATGTATTTTATTTGTATTTTTGTTTATACAAATTCACAATATACACATTCATCAGCATCGATCAATATTTATTCTAACGAAGCAATAATTACACAAATCAGATATAAACATATAGATAAATTCCAAAAAAGAAACTGAAGTTTAATTGAATGAATATACAAGAAGTTATTGTGACCAACAATATTATTCGAGCTAGATCTACTGAACTTAATATTATTGTCAAAACACAAAAAGGTTTTTCAGTATAAATAAAGAGTAAATAAAGGTTTGCCATTGTTATATCATTACTATGTCTATTCATGCATGAAACTAAGTTTTAAAAAACCAAATATTTATACTTTTTTAAACATAGAAAATAATGTAGTTCTTTATATTAAACGGGTAGACAAAATAAAAAATGTATATTGTCTGAGAGATTGTTGGTAGGAATATAGAGCAGCCTGGATATCCCCATTGATCTGTTGACAAATCCCCAGAATCTGCCAGGATATGTCTCTTAGGTTAAGAGTGTACTTATCCATCCAGTGATCATTTGTAACCAAGTACTGTAGTTTATTGAATGGTAATTGTGCGCGCATGGTGTCAACATGTCTGTAACATAGGAACTCTAGCATGTATAAGAATATAAATGGCGGGATAAATAATATTGGCTCGCTGTTCTGTAAAGCTAAGCGTTGTTCTGTTTCTAGATCACTGATATACATTATTCTATTGTGAAGTACAATAAAGTCTATTTGAGTCTGTTTAAATTTTTTTGACAACGTAAGTCCTCCAAAAACTTCTGCATACCTTTCCCTGTCAGTAGCTTGCCTCTCAGTATTCATAAAATATTCAGACATGAGACTCAACGTTTCTAATCTAGTATGTGTTATCTCTATAACAGATAATGCTTCTCTGTAACGACAAGTCTGATAATAATACATGGCAAGGTACAACATGTCAGAAATACAACCTAACTTGGCAGCTAATTTTAACATCTGACATGAGATCTTGTCAAAGATGTATATCATCTTGTTATTCTCATTTTTAGAGTTAATGTTGTTTATTTTTGGAAACGTATGCAAATTATATATTATAAATGCAGTTCTTCGAAGAAGCTTTACGGTGTGTCTTTGTAACATGACAACTTGATACCTTGACAAGGGCAAACCAGACAACCATTTTAATTGTTGCAAGGCCATTATAAAACAGTGCAGATCTACGCCTGGTAGTGTTTCTTTAATACAAATCTCTAAAAAAAATATCATAATCAAAATGATATTCTGAGATTAAGATGCCTTCATCTAAACAAATAGAAAGCCTGGGGTTACAGAGTACATTTATGATATAGGGTCTGATAGAGTGACTCTGTAACAGGCAAGATACACCCCTCTCATATAGTGTATACAGTCTGACGAATAAAATAGCTTGTGAATCACCATAGATATTTGTCAAAAACATGTTGTTTTCTGGAATGAAAAAGTTAGGACACACTCCTTCATACACCCACTTTAGAATCAGTTTAAAGCAGACCCAAAAACACTCCAGGAGATGTTGTGGACACCAGTGCGACATTTTGTTTTGCTGGAGCATCCAGAAAATAGCTGTTTTCATGTGATAGGAACACAGTAGTTTTCTTCCCTCAGTTAATTCAAAGTTGATTACTTCATTTAAAAACAATTTCAATAATCCGTAAGTTAAAAATTGGCAGTCTCGATGGTGAGTTGGCCAGATCATTATGTCCTTATCAGAATTTTGCAGTCTGAATCCCTCTCCATGACTTCCACTACACAGTCTTTCCTCATAATTACTTGCTCTCGATTGATTTAGAACTATATTCCGAATATCCACCACATCTCTTCTCATAGCTACCTGGTGTTGAGTTCCCAATATTCTACATAGTCCTACGAACACAGACTCTGACAAGTGCTGTATCCTTCTCTGCCTGAAAAAGCAATATCTTTTTAAAATGAATTCAAAAAACATCTAAGATTCTAGAAAAAAAATTTTTGAAAATTTATATTTATTGCATATAAGCTCGTACGAATGTACGAATATTTTTTAATATTCCACTGAGCCAAAATGAATTGAACTACCCTATACATATATTGGATTTCGAAACTTCATAAAAATCCTTACAAATAAAGATACATTGCGGGTTTTGAACAGTAAATGTTCAACCAAGCCTCTTTTATTACTCCTCACTAAGATATTGACAGTAGTGAAGATAAAACTTTAAGAGTACTGTGCAACAATATATTCAAGACACACAAGTACTCTGAAGTTGACATAAAAAAATGCTAGAGTTTCTGATTGACAATATCTATGTGGTTTTTGGAGACAAGGTATTCCAACAATGTATAAGAATTTCCATGGGCACCAATTGCGCTATGTTATTAGCAGACCTATTTTTACATTTATATAAAGCAGACTTTGTGAAAAATCTTATGCGTGAAAAGAAGAAAATGCTTGCTGTGGCCTTCAACTCGACATTAAAATATATCGACGATGTATTGTCAATTAACAAAGGTAATTTCCATTCCTACGTCAATACGATATAACCTGATGAGCTGGAGATAATGGATTCCACAGAGTCCTAAACATCTGTTTCATACTTGCAAAAGACGTTAATGGTAATTTAACAACCAAGCTATATGATGACGTGATGAGTTTAAATTTTCTATAGTCAACTTCCTTTACTTATACAGCAATATACCTTCATCACTTGCATACGGAGTGTGTATATCTAAGTTGATTCAATACGCAAGAGCATGCTCTACGAATGAATAATTTCTAAAACCGGGTAAATTATAGACAAGCAAGTTGATGAAACAAGAATATCAGCAGTCTCGTTTAAAGTGATCATTTCGTAAGTTCTATGGTTGGTACAATGAACTTGTCAGCAAATACAATTTATCATTGAGTCAAATACTGACTAACGTTTTTCATAGTAATTGTTACTCCATTAATTAAACACTGAATTGACGACGAATTCTTCCGTCATTTCCCGATCATGACAAGGAGCACACGGCGGGTGTGACCGGTCAGCAAGGGATGCTCACTCCTCCATTGCACCTGATCCCACTTCCTATGATTCAGAGCTCCGTGTTGAATCTGATCCTAATTTGAAATTTTCTCTATAAAACAAGTAAAAAGTACAAGGAAATTAACAGCGCATTATCGAATCACACTGTAAATTCCGGTGTCTATATTTGTGTTAGTGACGTCGCAATACAATCTCTTGTACTTTCTTTCTTAACCTTTTCTCTACAGGTTCATCTTCGTAAGCGACTTTGGAGACTTCCTTGACATATCAATATAATTAAATTTCCGACTTTTCATCCAAAGAGAACGTTTAGCATAATGCATACCATTTTGTAAGGGATTTCTTATAGAGGATATTCTAAGACTATTTAGGTACCTCACGACTGACTTTAATAGTGGAAATAGAGGTGAAAGTCCAATAAAAGCAAAATTTTATTGGATGTTTGGAGACTTATTTGCAAGTAAAAATTTACAATGGTGTTTGCTGAAATAAGAACATTCAAATTCAGTATAAAAACAAGGGTCTAACAATTGGTATGAAAGAAGGCAGTCAACAAACCACATTATAACCCTAAACTGTAAACATATTTGTAAGATGTGATTACATGTACCTCTACATTAGTGACACATACTATTTGAATAAAATACCAGTAAAAAAATAATGCAGAGAGTATCAGCACACTTTCAAAACTTAAACAATTAAGAATTATTTTATCATTTTCAAAAATAAAAATTTACACAATTTTCTTTGTCACCAGAATACAAGAAAATAACTTTAATCTTATCTAATTTATGTGACTTGCATTTTCTCATCATCATTAGCCAATGATTTCTGATGGGCTACTTTTATCACAAACCATTAACCTATCATGTTATGATGTTGTGGAGGCCCGTGTTTACTCCGCTCCTATTTATTAATGTTTAATTGGACTTTAGAGCTCGAATACTGTTCATTGTCTCCACATATTTCAGAGGTCGGAGAAATTTACGTCACATTATCTCAAATATTATCTTAGAAATCATTGTTTAGAAGGATTTTTCCTAACCGAGACTATAGAGTCAAGAAATATCTTTAACGACAGTATAGTCATTTGGTATATCAATTGCTAACTAGGCAAATGATGCCGACTTAATGAATTCCAGTCACAACTCGAGAAAAATACTGACTTTCAATAGCTAGTAAGGCCATGGGTTTGTACCAGAAATCTTTGGATTGGCATTCACTAGTCATTTGTGATGAAAACATGAAACATATGGGGATAAAGTATAGTACTCCAAGATGAAATATTTGGAGATAGCGAACAGTTTTCAAGATCAAAAGTCCATAAAACAATACAAAACAGCAGCAGAGCAAACACGGACCTCCGGGAACATCAGAGGTGGAATCAAGTGCCATGGAGGAGTGAGCATTACCTGCCGACCAGTCACATCCGCCGTGTGCTCCTTGTCATGATCGGGAATTAACGGAAAAATCCGTCGTCAATTCAGTGTATATAAATAATGGACTAACAATACATA